TCTATTAAGCTGGTGGCCAGAAAAATTTCAAGTGGCCAAGAGCAGCGAGCGGAGATTTTCGGGCAAGGTTGGACTTTCCATGACAAGGCTATCGAAACTGACGCAATCCGGACTCTGTCTCCTCCTATCGAAGTGAGTTCGCGCGTGACGCGCTAAGTATCGGCGGTCCTTGCCTGCAGGCCTTTGGAATTCCCTGGCATTTCTCTGTTTTCGCGGAGGTAATGAGCCTGCGCATATTTCTTGGAAGCACATGGACTTCTATATATTAATACTTGGTTGGTGTTAACATTGGCCTCGTCCTGACGCGGTTGATTCAGATTATTGTTTCTAATGTTTATCATACCAATCTATCTTATTGTCTTGCAGATGCAGCAAAATGTTATGCAACACCCCTTTTAGCGAATGAGTAATTAAATTTCTTACCCTCAATTAATTTTTCATTGTTATTAAGAAAAGTAATGTTTATAATAATAGACATTATTATGTATAAGTCTTTTATTTTAACGTATTATTTTAATAAATACATAGAATTAAAATTGGTTAATATGATTTGAAATAAAATTCCATTTGTAAGAATACTGTATTTGAAGAGGAAACACGAGAAAAATTAATATTATAAAAATAAATTAATGATATTTCAATACTTAAATCTGAAATAAATTCCATGCTCGAATGGATAATTTAATATATACTTGTTTTTAAGTAACATACGTTGTGATTTAACGGATAATATTGTACTTTTAATATACATTTTTTCTTCAATTACAATTATTTTTCATATTATTTAGTATTGTTACATTTATGCAGCGTTATACAATTATTTCTTTAAGACGTCAATAATATTAATTTTTAAATTATAAATTATTGTTACTATTGCTACAATTTCAAAGAATCTTTTATTCATATTTGTTTTGAGAACTTATTAAATTTATTATTTATCACTATCAATTTTAGATAGAAATTTTAGATAAGAAATTAAAAGAAATGAATTAACTTGTTTTTTAATTGTCTATGTATTTAAGCATAATTGGATTTAAAAAAATAATTACTAATGTACGAACCTGCTTTTTTCTAAATAGACTTATATACGTTGACAGTTTTTCTTTACTAATGAGAAGAATATGATAAATAAATAATGTAAACAAATATGTTTAAATTGTGACAATAATACATTGTTTTTAATATTATGCTAAATGGCATCATTGCATGTTGATTTTCTAAATATATAGATGTCAATGAATGTTCATTTACTATCATGTTGATGTCCTAAAGATATACAATAAAATTAATTTCATTAATTTTTAAAGTAATAATACACGTCCGCATTCTTTACTACAAAAATTTTACTCTTATTTTAATATTATATTTAAAACAAATTAAAATTATTTATGATAATATATAATTTAAAAAAAAAATTAAAATAATTAATCATTTTAAATTATCGATATGTATCCATAAAAGAAATATTATTATAGAATAATTGTAATACGTTAAATAAAAATATAAATGATAGTTATTTATACAATCTGAATTAGAAAAATACAATAAAATTTACCAAAAACTCGAATGTTGTTTTAATATACTTAATATATTAATATATTTAATAATTTTCACAAATATATTGCATCCTCTACTGTAATTTCTTGGGCTTTAAGCTTAAGCTTTTTCCTAGACTCTTTTACTGACAAACTTTGTATTTTTTTATGAAAATAAGATATTTTTGAAAAATTAGTGAAATCATTTTTTTACTTATTTTATTCTGCGATTCATTAGTTTTATAAAATAAATAATTTCTCCAGAAATTATAAAATTCTCTAATACTGCTTTCTTAAATTAATATCAATTTTTTATCATATATTTATTATTAATATTCTTATCTATTATATGACATTAGAGATACGACAGATATTAGTCAAATCGAAAAGTAATACTCATAGTAGTTAATGCGTATACTCCGTACGATTGTAACAATGTAAATTTTTCATTACACTCTATGTATGAATCAAACTAAAAAGAGAAAGTTAGTACTGACTTTATCAAAATATCTTCTTTAGTAAGCTATTTTATTAATTTCATTAAACATCGTTCATTCAATAAAATATTATAATTTTAATTGAGTTTATAGGATTCAAAATATTTTATGATTGATTCTAATTATTTCTTAATTTTTTCGATATAAATAAAATGAAAATTCAAAACTTCTAACATTTTTTAGTACCATCACAAATTCTAACGACATATAAAAGGAAATAAACTTTAATGTGATGTACATATATATAGTATGTTAAATAATATATGCATTTAGTATTCAGTACATGCACATTGTGAAAGTAAAAATATAATTTGCAATTTTAATTGACGGAAATAGTGAAATGATAGAATCGAAAATATAAGAACCCCTGTGAAATACTTCCCGCGTGATAATTAAAATAAACACATAATACAGAGTAGATCAATAACTTAGTAATAAATTCGAGATGGCGATTAAGCGATTTCTAACGATCAATGAAGTTATGATAACGTAAAAGACGAACGTAAAAGTCCTCCATACGTGAATAATAATAATTGAACAAACACTTTTATGAGTAATAATGTGCCATCATTGACATCTATTTTCTCCTATTAAATATTATTGATACTATTTTCTTTTATATAATTTAATAATCTTAATATTTATTATACTAAATATTTAAATAGTGTAATATTTCTAATTTAATATATTTCAAGAAATTCCTATGCCATGAAAGCTGTAATCTTAACTTCATTAGTCGTTTTATACCGATAAATATTATTTACTTTTATATATAACTATAATTATAATTTTCCATTGATATAATTGGTTAAATGAAAATTAATATTTAATTTAATATTTTTCATAGTAATATAAATTATAAATAATATTAATAATAAACTGACTTTTCATTTTAATTTTATGAATTATTATAGAATAAGTTTATATTATTTTGATAAAAATAAAATATATACTAACTATATTGAGCTTCATCAACATTAAATATGATAATTATAGCAACAATTGTGAAAACTATGAAACTAATCTTCACTAATCTTTTTACATTTTAACTGTTAAAATCTTTTTAAAGAAAAAAGTCAACTAACAATACTTCTCATTTACATAATAAAAGACTGCTATTGTTACAATAAATCCGCACACTTTCTTTAATTAAAAAAATCTCTGATTGAATAGTTTCAACTATGATGATATTTCTAAATTATTGTAAATAAAAGTAGCAGGCTTATTTAATTATTTAAATACTTTATATGTACGAGCAAGGTTACTTTAGAAAACTTATAAATTTTTTATGTTTAATAATACTGAATAATGTGGTAAGTATTAACACAAGTAATGTAGCGCATAAATTTTAAATGCATTTATTTATAGTAAGTATAATGTTTTTAATATTATTAGCTATTTAAGATTTTTTTTTTTTTTTTTTTGTACGTTCATTGAAGTAAAAGTGTAAATAATTCAGAGTCTTATTTATTTCTAATAGTTGAAAATTAATTTTTTTTGTAAAACGATGACTTTTATAAAACTGCTCCTTTTTTATGTTGCATTGTCAGTTCATAATAAATATTATAAAATAATTTTTACCTAAAACCATGCTTTATAATTATAATTGTATTCGTTTTTCAATCATTTTATATTTTTTAAAAGATTATAAATAGTGTTTGATTAAAATATTAAAAATGTTATAGAATTATACAATTAATTGACAATGTAACCATAATTAGTATGGAATACTAAACCATTCCACTTAGTACATAATACTTAACAAAATTTATCTAACAAGACTGGTAATGTCCAGTATATTCCCTTGATATTACTTTGAAAAAAATATTTTCCTAACTAGCACTAGAAATAAAAACTATAATATATATTTAATTTCATAGCAAGGTTTATTAAAAAGTAATTTAATGCGATATTATTGTAATATAAAAATAACAACAGCTCCTAAAATAATGAGTAATATCTTAATTATTTTAATATAGCTGTTTGTGACATTTGGTTTCAAAAGTCAGATAATAATGAGTATTTTAGTACGTTAATATGTAAAGAATCATATGTTTTGGAAATTGTCAATAATAAGATATATCTTTTATTTAATTTTAATATTTAATCCAAGCTATTATTTAAAATAAAATAATATTTGTTATATTAACTGTAATTAATATATATTGAACAATAAAAAACATAAGAGGATTAAGTGATAAAATAATATGCAATACAAAAATTTAATTATTTATAAATGACTACTTCGACGAATACAAATGCCAAAATTGGATAATTTAAGAGAACATATAATCAGAAGTTTCAAATATAAAGACAATGTATACATTAGATACAAATTATATCAAAGTTCTTGTTAAAATTATTGTCAGTCTTTGTCATTTAAAATCTGATGTATGTAATTAAGTGTTATAATAAATTGAAAACATTGCAATTAATCTAAAGAACGTTATCAATATTTTCAGGTTAAAAATTATTTGGTTACATTACACAAATTATTATAATTTCCTAAGAAACTTAAAAGATAAATCAAGATAAATTCTGTACGTATGCATAAATTCTTTTATACATTTATATAACGTAATTTTTTATGCAATTTCAAGAACCAGAGCGAATCAGATTTTCTTAATTAAATAAAAAATTATTCGAATTATATCTCAAGAATTTATCATTATTTATTGTTCAGATTATTATTTAGATTGTTTACGAACAATTGTAATGATTAAATAAAATTTTTATATATAATTAATTAAAACTTAATAAAAAACATTCAAATATTTATAAAATATTTTAAAATAATGACAATTATACTTTTATATTTTCTAGTGTCCATAGATTTACTAAATTTTAAATAATTATATTACCAATTTACTATATTCTAAATAATTTTTTAAGATAATAAATTAAAAAATACTCTAGATTTACAATAATTTTAATAAATAAAATTAGTAATAATTGAATTTACACACTGCATACATACATAGTCTCTTTTTTTATTTAGTAACTTATTGGATCAACGACTTTCTAAAATAATTGTTGAATGTAACTTATATCTCCATATATTATTTGTATAATTAATATTGATATATCTGATTAAGTTATACAAATTCTTATTTTAAGTTTATTGATTCATCTAATGAATTATTAACCGAGTGTAACTAAATTATTTACCAAAACTTAACTTGAAACAACGATAATGCGATGTCAAATATTTTTAGTGCCAATAAGTTTGATATATAAATTGAGATAATATAAAGGTAACATAAAATGAATACTATTATATGACATATATTATGATACAATTACACTATGATTATTTGTCTGCCATTTGTCTGTCATATCATATGCCATTGAAATAAAATATTTAAAAATAAATTTTGTTTGCTTATTATTTTATAATTAATATTGATTATAATTTCAAAAAAAAACAAAACTAGTGCACGAGAATTCATTTGATACTTCATTAGCAATAAAACATTCATTTAGAGTGTTGAGTATAATTAAAGATTACAATAAATATATGTAAGTTAAATTTTATTATTTAGTTAGATTTTTAATCTAACTAAAGATATTAGTTTAATATTACTCAATTAAATTTTAATTTTTGTAATGGCATAAATTACTTAATAATATGAATTTATGAAAAAAGAAATATGAATGACTATGAGTTTGCAAATTACGTGTTCTGCAGGCGCAAATTTATTAATCAATCATACAATTGAATACTGGGTGACATCGTAGATAAACGTCTTTAATTTCTTCAATATTTTTTCTTGTTCTTTTCATGGATTTGCCTTGCAAATAATTTTCTTGTCACTTGAACTTAATATAATTATTATGTTTATATTTATGTTCTAAGACAATGTAACGAGATTTATCCATAAGGTGAAATAATATGTAATACATGTTGTATTAAAAAATCTTGATAAATAATTTTAAATGATTTATTTCGTCGTAATCATAAGTTATGTCACTATGGTAAAAAAATTATTAAAATCCGTTGTATTTAACTTTTCTCTAATGAAAATATAAAAATTCCTATTTATTTTATTATAAAAATAGTTATAAAATGGTTATAAAATTGTTGATAAAAATAGTTTTAAAAATGTTTCTACAGATTTTCTTAAAAATTTGAGTATATAAAATGTTTATTTTAACCTTTCGCCTTTCATAAGCGGACTTTTAAAAATTGATTTATTGAAGTTCAAATTTAAAATTGAATTATTTTCCTTTTCTTTAAACTATTGACCGCCAAATCTAATCTAAATACATTATATTTGTGTGTATTCTTTAAGTTTGTTTATGTTAAATTTATATTATTTGTAACTTTAAACTCATCTTTATGTTTTCATAAGCATAAGTTGTTGATATATTTTTAAACATTTTTTGATCTTTTCAACATACTACCTGTTCAATATACAATTTTCTATCTGTTTTATAAAATATATGATTCACATTTTCTTACTTAATACTTTCATTATTAGGATCTCCAGAAACATGAAAATTATTTTTTTTAATAAATACAATTTTTCTTTTAAAAATATTTTATTACATTATGTTTATTCAATGCTATTAATTTAACAATATAAGATATTATTCTAAAAACATAAAAGTTACATTAAAATACATACATATAACTGTCAGTAAATATTAAAATAATTCTATATAAATATTACAGTCTGTATATATATATATATATATATTTTTTTTTTTAAATAAATAAATTAATCTTAATATAGTTTGTAAGCGATATATTAACTTAAAACTGTTAATTATATTATATAAGTAAGAACTATAATTATAATAAGATGTATTATTTGTGTATTATTGTAATATAATACTAATTATAATTAAACGAAATAGTATATAATTTATATGTGTTATAATAATTTTTCTAGTGTTTGCGGTATTTATTTTCTATTTGTGTAACTAGGATCAATCGGTTTCGAAAAAATTTTCCATGGAGCCCGTATTTTTATAGTTGGCATAACTTTTTGTCCATATTTATCGAAAGGTTCAAAAGACCCTGAAATGGTTTTAATAATGAAGGGATTGTTAGGATCATCCGATTTAATTTCCGTAATAGTGTCGGAAGATGTAGTTAAATTATTTATAAATGGTCCTAATAAATCAGAAATAAGTGGATTTGAAGACCAATTAGATTTGAGTTCAGGATTATTTGGAACAGAACCAAATCCAGAATTCAGTGAAGTTGAAAAAAATGGATTTACAGGTAAAGGCATATGAGGAAAACCTTCAAATGGATGATAAGGTACAAACATAGAGAGGTCTTGAGAGGGAGTAAAACGGAATGATAGAGGCGGTTGTCCATAAGGTGGAGCAAGAGGAAAAGGCCAGCCAAGAGTACCTTCGTCAAACTTAAATGGTTTCGGTAAATTTGTAGTATATAAACCTTCTCCGTTCATTTCTTCATTATTGCCATCTTCGTTTTCACCGGGCTTATACGCACCTTGCCATCCATTATCGTCTGGGTCCTCAGGCTTTTTATAATAATACTTATCATCATCTATGGCAGGGATAGATGTAGTTGAATCGAAAGCAGGTTGAAAGCGATTATCAAATAAAACTGTTATATTAGGTGAAGATGAATTTCTAATGATCGAAGGATTTCCTAAAATGGGATTAAGGTTAGGTTTAACCGTTATCTCAACCTGCGGTTCTTTCTTTGTGCTAGTAGGAATTGTTCTCTGAACAGGTATTTCTGTAGGACGTTGAATTTGCGAATTTGGTGATTGCGCACAGGATAAAAGATTATGAGTTTTTGTATGTGGATTTTCTGGTTTAATATCAACATCTTCAGAAGATGGCATTGTTGGTTTATTTCTTTTAGGTTGTTTGTTTTGTGGATGTTTTTTAGTTGGTTTTTTAGGCCGATCTACTGGTTCATCTGGTGTTTCAGGATCATTTTCTGTATCTGGATTATCCTCATCTGGTTCTTCGGGATCATCCTCATCGTTTTCTGGTGTTGGTGTTGTTGGTTTATTCTTTTTAGGCTGTTTATTTTGAGGAGGTTTCTTAGGAGTTTTGTTTTTTTGTTTCTTAGGTGGTTCTTTGGGTTCATCTGGTGTTTCAGGATCATTTTCTGTATCGGGATTATCCTCATCTGGTTCTTCGGCATCAGCCTCATCGTTTTCAGGTGATGGTGTTGTTGGTTTATTCTTTTTTGATTGTTTATTTTGAGGAGGTTTCTTAGGAGTTTTGTTTTTTTGTTTCTTAGGTGGTTCTTTGGGTTCATCTGGTGTTTCAGGATCATTTTCTGTATCGGGATTATCCTCATCTGGTTCTTCGGCATCAGCCTCATCGTTTTCAGGTGATGGTGTTGTTGGTTTATTCTTTTTTGATTGTTTATTTTGAGGAGGTTTCTTAGGAGTTTTGTTTTTTTGTTTCTTAGGTGGTTCTTTGGGTTCATCTGGTGTTTCAGGATCATTTTCTGTATCGGGATTATCCTCATCTGGTTCTTCGGCATCAGCCTCATCGTTTTCAGGTGATGGTGTTGTTGGTTTATTCTTTTTTGATTGTTTATTTTGAGGAGGTTTCTTAGGAGTTTTGTTTTTTTGTTTCTTAGGTGGTTCTTTGGGTTCATCTGGTGTTTCAGGATCATTTTCTGTATCGGGATTATCCTCATCTGGTTCTTCGGCATCAGCCTCATCGTTTTCAGGTGATGGTGTTGTTGGTTTATTCTTTTTTGATTGTTTATTTTGAGGAGGTTTCTTAGGAGTTTTGTTTTTTTGTTTCTTAGGTGGTTCTTTGGGTTCATCTGGTGTTTCAGGATCATTTTCTGTATCGGGATTATCCTCATCTGGTTCTTCGGGATCATCCTCATCGTTTTCTGGTGTTGGTGTTGTTGGTTTATTCTTTTTTGATTGTTTATTTTGAGAAGGTTTTTTCGGTATTTTGTTTTTTGATTTCTTAGGTGGTTCTTTGGGATCATCTGGTGTTTCAGGATCATTTTCTGTATCGGGATTATCCTCATCTGGTTCTTCGGGATCATCCTCATCGTTTTCTGGTGTTGGTGTTGTTGGTTTATTCTTTTTAGGCTGTTTATTTTGAGGAGGTTTCTTAGGAGTTTTGTTTTTTTGTTTCTTAGGTGGTTCTTTGGGTTCATCTGGTGTTTCAGGATCATTTTCTGTATCGGTATTATCCTCATCTGGTTCTTCGGGATCAGCGTCATCGTTTTCAGGTGATGGTGTTGTTGGTTTATTCTTTTTAGGCTGTTTATTTTGTGGAGGTTTCTTAGGAGTTTTGTTTTCTGGATTCTTAGGCGGTTCTTTGGGTTCATCTGGTGTTTCAGGATCATTTTCTGTATCGGGATTATCCTCATCTGGTTCTTCGGGATCAGCGTCATCGTTTTCAGGTGATGGTGTTGTTGGCTTATTCTTTTTAGGTTGTTTATTTTGAGGTGGTTTCTTAGGAGTTTTGTTTTTTGATTTCTTAGGTGGTTCTTTGGGTTCATCTGGTGTTTCAGGATCATCTTCTTCTGGATTATCCTCATCTGGTTCTTCGGGATCATCCTCATCGTTTTCTGGTGTTGGTGTTGTTGGTTTTTTCTTTTTAGGCTGTTTATTTTGCGGACCTTTCTTAGGAGTTTTGTTTTTTGGTTTCTTAGGTGGTTCTTTGGGTTCATCTGATGTTTCAGGATCATCTTCTTCGGGATTATCCTCATCTGGTACATCGGGTGTAGTCTCGTCATTTTCAGGTGATGGTGTTGTTGGTTTATTCTTTTTTGGTTGTTTATTTTGAGGTGTTTTCTTAGGAGTTTTGTTTTTTGGTTTCTTAGGTGGTTCTTTGGGTTCATCTGATGTTTCAGGATCATCTTCTTCGGGATTATCCTCATCTGGTTCTTCAGGTGTAGTCTCGTCATTTGCAGGTGATGGTGTTGTTGGTTTATTCTTTTTAGGCTGTTTATTTTGTGGAGGTTTCTTAGGAGTTTTGTTTTCTGGTTTCTTAGGCGGTTCTTTGGGTTCATCTGGTGTTTCAGGATCATCTTCTTCGGGATTATCCTCATCTGGTTCTTCAGGTGTAGTCTCATCGTTTTCAGGTGATGGTGTTGTTGGTTTATTCTTTTTTGGTTGTTTATTTTGAGGTGGTTTCTTAGGAGTTTTGTTTTTTTGTTTCTTAGGTGGTTCTTTGGGTTCATCTGGTGTTTCAGGATCATCTTCTTCGGGATTATCCTCATCTGGTTCTTCGGGATCAGCTTCATCGTTTTCTGGTGTTGGTGTTGTTGGTTTTTTCTTTTTAGGCTGTTTATTTTGCGGAGCTTTCTTAGGAGTTTTGTTTTCTGGTTTCTTAGGTGGTTCTTTCGGTTCATCTGGTGTATCAGGATCATTTTCTTCTGGATCTTCCGAATTATCTGCTTCTGGGTTTTCAGGTTCATTCTCATCATTATCTGGTGATGGTGTCGTTGGGTTATTCTTTTTAGCTTTATTTTGTGTAGGAATTTTAGGTGGTTTTTTAGATTCATCTTTTTTTGGTTCTTTTGGTGAATCATTTATATTATCAGGAAATTCCGAGTCCTGTTCTGCTTTTGGAATATCATCATTTTCTTCATTTGGTTTAGTGGCATCGTTTTCTGATACTGGTGTTGTTGGATTATTCATTTCTGGTTCTTTCATGTCTTTTGGTTCTTTTATTGGTTTCTTGGTTTCATCTTTGTCAGGTTTTTGAGTAGCCTCATTTGGTTCATCTGGTTTATTTTTATCTTCTATATTATCTTGATTTTTTTCTTTTGATTCTGTATCATCTTCTTCTGGTGCTGATGTTCTTGGCTTATTCGGTTTTGGTGTTCTTTTTTGTCGGCGTTTTTTAATTGGTTTCGTAGTTTCATCATCTACTGTTTCTGTTGGGTATTCTTCAGGTATATTCAATGATTCTGAACTTTCTTCTACTTCTTGGATTACCGTCTTATTTTTTTTGTATTTTTTTATTTCTTTAAATGTTTGTAGATTATTCACAGATTCTTGATTTTCTATATCTTTTGACAAATCACTATCCTCATTAGTAAATTTCTTGTCCTTTTCATTACTTTTATCATTTTTTTTTGTTTCTATTATTTTGGGTATACTTGACTTAGATGATTTTGTCGTCGTTGTATCGATATTAAACATCTTATCTATTTCTAATGATTGTAACATTAATTTATGTTGATTTTTTAAACTAATATAACTGTTATGAGGTTCATGATCATTTTCTTTTCCCTCTGGTCTAGTAGATTTTAGTTTATCAATATTAAAACGTTGTTGAACAGGTGTCGATATATTTTTAGAATTTTTGTTGTTAGATAATTCAATACTAAATTTATTATCTTCATAAGGTGTACTCCTTGTATTGTTATTAATTATACTTGAAGGAATATTATTTGATGGTTCTATATTTATATTAAAATCATCATTTTCAGGAATTTCACTTCTAAGTTTATAACTTTGTGGTTGATCGGATTCTTTTTTGTTTTTAATGTTTGTTTGTGAACCGCTGTTTAATTGTAATTTGTAAAGTTTATTCTTTACATTCAACAATAATTTTTCCTGTAAATTTTCTAATGAACTAGGATCTTTTTTTTCAATTAATTGATTGTTTAAATTTAATAGTTTTGTATTAGTAAAGTCATCCTGTTTACTGAAATTGGAAATTTGAGTAGTTTCGAGGGAAATTCCATTTGCACTAGCAGTTCTTTTATTATTATTTGTAGTATCCACATTTTCTCCATTACCGGCAAAGGAATTGGCTGTAATGATTTATTTTTAAGATAAAATATTTACTATGTTATGCTAAAATGTATACTCTGTTATTTACCTAATAAAAATTTCAATTTGTTATTTATGAATTTATATCAAGTTATGTAATTAATAATCAAATAAGAAAAATAAAAAAAAACAAATAAAAAATATTTCACATTATTTATGTTAACATAAAATAATAAAATTTTACAGTTACTTTTTATTATAAAACGTTTAGAAATCTTATTTAATCAGTATTTATATAATTCAATATAATTAAGTAAATCCATATTATTATATTTTATATATTCATGACTTCATAATTACCAATGGTTGCTGTTTGTTCATTTGCATTCTCTCCTGAAATATTATTATACATTTTAGAAACATTATATACTATATATACTAAGTAGATATAAATAATAATAAAAAATCCCTTTTTAGCACATTATAAACACAATTGAAAACATAATAATATGAAATTACAATAAATTATCTTTATAAAGATTTATTTTATTGTCACTAGATATCACTTATCATTGAAATAAACAAATCATTTGTTAGACAATTATGAAAAAAATCACCTGTTGGAAAAGCTAGGATACACGATAATGAGAGTACAATCAGGGCCAAAATGGCCCTGAAAGTAAGACACATTTTCACAAGCTCACTAAATCAGCACGTAATCTTTTTGAAACTAAAATCTTGAACGAACAACAATTTCCGATAGAGTGTAAATTTATTGGTATAAGTGGTAGCTTTTATAGCTGATGCTCTCTGAGTATTCAAAAAAAAAAAAAAAAAAAAAAAAAAAAAAAAATGCCGGCGAACGTTCTCGGAGGCTATAGCATTTAATAGAAGTAAAAGGATACAAAAGATGTAGAGAGAAAAAAAAACAAAATGCGCGCATCCGTCTCTCTGTAAGTTGCAGAGATGATTCGATAAGAATCATTCACAAGTCAATTTTTTTTCAGCATTGTAATTTTACCGAGTGATAGATCATTTTCAAGATATCAGGCAGATGATTAAGTTTTGCTTAGGCGTGATAAAAGCAAGCGATCGACGAAGTATTAAGTAATACTGCGATACTGCTAGTATCCAAGTGTACGCAATTTGCTTGGAAACTTTATGTTTACCCAGAAATAGAAATAAGTAAGCGGCAAATCAATTTATTTTTTCAGTATGCTTTTTCAACGTATAATTTCATTCGTTTAATTGTGTATTTTGAAATGATCGTAGTTGGGTTCCGCGAGCAGAATGTAGAAGAATTTTATAACGTGCGATTTGCGTAAAATTTAAACAAGTAAAATTATAAATTGTAAACAGTTGTTACTACAAACATCATTAATAAAGAAACTAGTTGTAACAAGTATTTTAATATACAGAATTTAAGGATTTGACTGTAACTATCGAGGATACATTTTTAAATATATAATTTAAGGAATTTTTCAATTCTTATATAATTAATAAGTTTTCAATTTTCTTAGAAAATATAAATCAGTTAGAACTTTGACAGTTTTTATGACTTTCAATTTAAAAATACAACTTAATTTTTATAAATGAAATATTAAATTATTTTTCAGCTCATTAAATATTTGTTTTACAACTTCAGTTACATATTTATTTAATATTATTATCAATCAATATTTTTAAATACGGCACTTTCTTTCATTATGATAATAATCGCTTGATTAAATGTTGTAATAAATCCGACACTATTCAAGGAAATATTATGCTTCACTTGATCTATGACTTTTAATAGTGGTATAAAAATAATAAAATTTTCATTCGAAACAAACATTCATAGCTAAAAATAATGCTTAGTGACTTCGGAAATAATTATAACGGTTTATTAACGAATAAATATTTTAATTACACGCTGTAGAATGTTTTTTTTTTTTTATAAAAAGAAATTAAATTTGGTTGTAATAAGATATATTCGTATAATGAACATATGCGCAAGTAAAAAATATTTCAATATTACTACAATATAAGGCAATATAAAATAATTTAATAATCGATTGATTTATTTATTATATAAGAATGAATATAATATATAAAAATTTTTTTTTTATCTATAAATAGTATAAGCATTAAACAATAATTATTACATTGCTTTCTTATTGTTCACATAAAATATAATAAATAATTAATTTTAATTGTGCGAATGCGATAAAAAAAATCACAAATACATGTAACATCACATTCATCTCTAGTTAATAAGATTACTGATTAAAATAAATAATTAAAATAACATATTTTAAAAGTAAATTACTCGGTTACCTAGAAAATTATAAAAATTACAAAGTATTGAAAAACCGATTTCAAGAAAGAAAGAATAAAAATATACAGGAGATCAATCGATGTTTATAGTCAGGAATTATAATTAAGTATTGATTGTGAATCAACGAATTCAATTTTGATGAATAATTAAGCAATTATTTTCCTGATAGGATTCTAATTAAAATGAGTAATTAAAGCAGAACAGAGGAAGAATTGACAGATTGTTAAAGTAGCGATAAAGAATTAAAATTGGAAAGGTTCTTGTTAGAGGCCAAAAGTGCACGATTATTGTTAATTGTTTTGCTCATGGGGACGCTCATGATGTAAGGGCTTCGTGGCTTTATTTTAACTCGGCCAATGACTAATTTTTAATTGATAACTAAACATTTTTGCTATATCAAGCCATATTAAAATACATTGTTTATAAAATGCATGTTTAACAAAATAAAACAGCGAGGTTTGCTACTTAAGTTAATTTAATGAAGTTAATGGATCAGTTGTTAAGTAATAATATGTATACTAATATTTTACTTAGTACAAAAGTAAGATTAATAGAATGAAAATTTCATGACAAAGTCAGATTTAAATTAACAATAAACCGAACAATATTATTTCTTTGTTGAATTATTTTAAGAAGTAATAAATTGCACAAATAATTATTGCTACTATGATAAGGGAATTCAATTTAATTTTTAAAGATTTACCTTCAATTTACGTTAATATTAAAACATAAAAAAGCACATTAAAAATAAATCTTCTACATTAACAGTATTTTTTTATCCATATATTTTCTACTTAGATAAAATAATTACCATTCGAGCAATGAAAAGTATTATAATATTATAATGTAAATTTAGATTTCAATTACGGCTCTTAATAACATTTGATTCTAATGTTATATTCATTATATATTTTTATTATATTCATTGAATTGAATATATTGAATATATATATATTAAATAAAACGTTCCAATTTATCAACAATTACAATAAGTATAATGTAGGTAGAAGATTTAGAGAGAGAAGAACATAATCACAAATTCATTATAATCAATTCGTAGATTAATTTCAATTATATTATTTGATTTCTAAATGGTCCTTTAAATGATTGTAATAAATAAAAAATAATAGATACAAATATATTATTATATTAATATGATAAACGCAGTTTTTCATATTTTTTTATTCAAGTATTACTGCCTTTTAATTTCAAAGAAACTATAAGCAAACGTCAAAATGAAAAAGTCTAAAAATAATATGACAAAATTTAACAACATTTTTATTTATGAAAAAGACTTAAGATTCGATTTATGTTTATTTCTCTTGTAGACATTTGAAAAGTTTCGTTTGCGTATAATTTCTTACAAAACAGCTCTCAACATTCCCAAGACTCTCCGCCGCCTATTCCCTAAAAATCGTATTCGTAATCATAATCGTAAGAATAATAGGACGAATCGTATGACGCCCCGCGAAATCGAATTTCGCGCCCCTCGGCCATTTTGAGATGCTCGCCGAAAGACGGCAGCGCTGAGCGTCGCGTCATCACAGCATTGTGAATTTGTGAGGTGGAATCTCCTGCGGTTGGCCTGACCCCTCTGATTAAATTTATGCCCTGACGGAAACCTAACTTTCGAGGCCCAAGCGGTCACGAAGCGCCATATCGCGATCGTCATCCCATTATCGTTGTTTTCTGGCGATCGAACAGTGAGCCATTAAGGTGATAAATTCTAAAGGGAAAGTAGCTAACGAGCTCGCACTTGCAAAAGGTAAGTTAGAAAGGTGTTTTTCGCGCCAGATATGTTGCCGAATTATGCGATTCCGAAGAAGTAAAACTGCGTTCGTACGCGCACAGTGAAGCCGCTCACTAAAGCCCGCATGTTAAGTGTTACGCGGCTTCTTGTGTTGTAAAGATGAGTGATTTTCGTGGGCAAATTTTTTCTAGTTTTTCATCACGAGCTGTAGTTAAATGAAAAATTTCATGTTTAACGAGCAAAAGTGCAAGATTCCGGTTTCTACCGAGATGCCTTGAACGAATTTTAAGGCTAGTGATATGGCTTATGGTGTAATGTTGGGTACATTTATTAGTTACTCTGTTAACGTCTTACGTTTAACTAAGCTTGTTTTTGTAATATTGTTTTGTATTATTTCATGTTAGCTTGTGTTATAAGTTAATTATGGTGTGTTTAAATGAAATAATCGTGGAGACTTAATTGAAAATAGCATAATATGTTTTGAAAATTACTTCTTTATTGTCAATATTTCTGTTTACATAGTAGACAAATTATAATTTTTACTTTGTATACAATTCCTTAAACCTTATTATTTTTTATGTAGAAATTCATTGAATAGTGGAATAAAATTAAGAGTAATATTTAAGTTTCATATAATTGTCTAAGCATCGAAGTAATAGCCAAATAAAATATATATTTTGTAATGTACGATCGTAGATTTATTAAGTATAAAATAAGTTTTGTATATTTATATTATTTCACAACAAAGTTGTTTTGTATGCGTATTTATCTACTGTTAATGTAAAAGAAAATTAAGTTAATATTATAGATTTATTTTTGATATTTATTTTTATTTACTTTCAATTATAATAATAGAGAATATATATTTATTTATTTATTTAAAAAAAAGCAGGAGCAAAATTGATAATGCCAGTATTCAGATTATCTTTATAAACATTTCAGAAATTTTTCAACTTCATAAATATCAATGGCAGACTCTGATGATGAATATGACCGTAAACGAAGAGACAAATTCAGAGGAGAAAGAACAGAATCTTATAGAGAAGGACGAGGAAGGGAAGATCGTAGAAGAGGAGGGGATGATTGGCCTGATAGGTATTTAACATTCTAATTAATTAAAAATTGTAAAAATATTATGACAATTGCAATACATTAGTAAATATATTTTATTATAGTTAGATTCAATATATAAGAACAAAGAAGTTTTCCAAAATATGCTCTTTAAATAAAAAAGTTTATAAAATATTATTTATTCTTAAATTACTAGATAACTATTTATATATGGTTAAATTTACTTAAATTATTTTTCATGTTAAATATTTATATATGTGATAGAATAAATAAATAAATAAAGATAAGATTAAAATGATAGTATGTTTGAAAAAGCTTACTTATAAATAGTACTTATAAGTTTAATGTTTCAAAATAATTAATAAGTAATAAATTAGTAACTAGAATTTCTTAAATATTTAAAAAGCTTTATAATTTTTCATAGTTTATGAATAATTGCTATATCATTATAAAATTTTACAACGAAATATGAGAATGAAAAGTCGCTTACAGTAAATATGCTTTATTTAATCTAACACAATAAAGCCAATTTTATGGTTTAGTTTTATTTAAAAATAAAATTATGTTTTATTTAAATTCATTTTGACAGCCTAAATAGAAAACTCAAGTAACCAAATGTAAATAATTCTATGTATAATATAAATTTAATAAATATAATGTAAATAATAAAAAATTAATCAAATCTTTTCGAATATATTGCGTATTTTGTTTATAAATTATACTTAGATATAACTATTGAATTTCTCATACTTAAGAATAAATATAAATTATTATATTATTGTGCTGGATTATCATTAATAAAATTTTAATACGCTGTTTTTGACAGTTATTTGATTCATATAAGGTAAAAATTAAAAATATTATCATAATACCTTAATTTATTAATTTGTAAAAAGTTATCTTAAAAGCTACTATAAACTATTTATTAAAAATGTTTAAGGATATCATTTTTATATGGTTCAATATATTAGAACTACGAGTTAATTATTTATTATGAGAATAATATAATTTAATTCTAAAATTTATAATTATAAGATTTAATAATTTAGATCTCATTTTAATTAAATAATAGAATATTGGTTCTAATTCATTTATAAATGTGAATTATTTAGTTAAATTTTTGAAATAAGTAAATTATATGATCAATAAAATCATCTAAAATTATATTTACATTATCTTTATATATATAAATATATATATATATATATATATATATATATATATATATATAGCCAAATATAGAGTTAATAAATTAATTTCATTCTATGGATTATAATTTAAGAATATTAATATAAAAAAGTACAAATTAACTTAAAAATAATCAAACCTTTATTGAACTTATATTTAGCAAAGGCTAACATCTACATTAAATTTTTGCGAGATATATTGCAATTTGATTAGGTTATGTTTATGACTTTACGTTTTCATAATGCTACCACAAGATCAATCCCTCTCTTTAGAAGGACTATTATTTAAACGTAAGTGGATATTAATTATAAAAATGCGATCGAAATAGGAGCAGTAAAATATTTGGGCTTCCACCAATAGTCGACGTAATGCCAAGTTCATTAAAGCTAGTAAAAATCTGCCATTCATAGAGAATGGTCGAGCAGGCCACGCACGAGACCGGATTACCGGGACTACCGGGGCGGCGGAGGCGGCGGCCGTGAACGATACAGTCCAGCTCGGTCACAGGACATGGCACCACCGATGAAGCGTATGCGCGGTGATTGGGATGACAGGCCGCCACGTGGACACTCCTACGGGGACTATTATGGCGGTGGAGGCGGTAGGGACAGTGAAACTAGTACCGGCGGTGTCGGGGGTGGCCGTAGCGGGGGTGGCGGCGGAAGTGGAGGCGGCGCCTGGAACCAGGAGCACTACTCCGCGCCGCATCACGGAAACCATCATTACAGTAACCACAGCAACAACAGTAGCAGGTGAGCTTACGGTTACGGCGCTCGGTTCGTATCTTTGCTCATTTGTTTTGGTTTTGGTGCATTTCTAACTTGCATTCATAGCTTATGCTGATAATCAAGTATGAGCTTGAACGTCTAAGGTTTAATTTAATTACGATTATTACCCAGGGATAAGCGAGCATGAATGGCCGTAGATTAACGAAAAAGAGTCGAATGACTCCGAAATTGTTGGCACAATTAAGGTACATTTTGTAATGTTGCTTAACGCGACCGGCATTCGTGTATTTTACTTTTCGTTTAAATATTTGAAAGTTCAGTAACCTATAACGTATTATAAAGAGCGATTTAAAAATGCATTTGTGACTTAGCTTTTTCTTTTTTTTTTTTATTAGGTAGATGTAAATGAATCATTCTATGTACTGTCATTTGTTGAAATTATAAATTCTGTAATACACATTATAAAATTATGTTAATATATTCTTGTATATTGCTTTTTTGTATGTGCCAATACTTTGAAATTTAAAAAAGATTTTTTTAAAAAGCTACATTGAATAAGAAATCCTTCAAAGCTTAAATGATGAAAGTGCAGTAAATATAATTAACTTTAATGGATTTATTTTATTATTTTTTATTTGATGTAGGCTCGTAATTATTGATTAATGAACTATTATCTATCATTTCAAAATAAAATTTCTAAATAAAAATTTACAATGATAAGATTTTTTTTTACTTATTAGTATATATAAAATATATAAAACAAGTAAATATATAAAACAAAAAAAGGGAGAGAAAGAGAAAGAGAGAGAGAGATTTTTAAATATATTTATCACTTATGAGTAGTTTTACTAATTTTTATTAAAAAACAATTTTAATACTATAAATTTATTATAAATGAAGTAACAAATATCATATAAATTTCCACGTAATGTTTATTACTAATTCAAGTATTTGTTTTGAAGTTTATTTTAAGTTTTCATATTCTATTAATTTTTCTATTTAGAATATTTAAAATATTTAATTTTTATCTATTTTCTGTATTTGTATATTCGTAATTCCTAGAAATAATTTTATACTTAGAAATAGAAATTGCAATATTAATTAATAATTAATGTTTTTATGTATTATTTACTAAAAATAATTAAATGGTGATAATTAAAATCGTGATAATTAAAGTTCATAAAACGAATTTTATTCATACTGTTATAACGTTTTACATAAAAGAATAATCATAAATAATATTATTAATTTATATTTTATTCATTTTGTATAGTCGTGAAGTTGCTGGTAATTTTAGTAATTCCAATGTGGAAACTCAGCCTCCAATGATGACATTCAAAGCATTCTTAGGTACACAAGAAGATTCAATTACAGATGAAGAAGCTATTAAACGTTATAATGAGTACAAATTAGAATTCAGGCGACAGCAACTTAACGAGTTCTTTATTGCACATAAAGATGAGGAATGGTAAGCATTAGTTTTTAAAATAATGAAACCAATACTTTATTATCCTTATTTTATACTTATGAATTCTTTTATTTTTATTCTTCGATATATATTGTGCATGCTTTTAACATGTACATTCAAATTTTCCTCAGTGTCTGTTAATTTAAATTCTAAGTCTTCCAAATATAAATTTTCCAGTTAAAACAACATAATTTCAGAAATTAGATTTTTTTTTTTTTTTTTTTTTTTTTTTTTTTTTTTTAAATCAGTGCAATATTCTTGATGTAGTTTTAAAGAAATTTTTAATGATAAATGAATTTTTACTCATTAAATTTACTCTTACTAATTGTTATTCGTTAATTATTAATATATTATTTTGAAAATTTGCTTAACACAATTAATTCAATATTGATTTTGTACATTTAATGCTTTGATCTAATAGAGAAAAAAAATTACATACCGTACTATATGAATTATTTGTAATAAAATATGTATAAATAAAAATTATAAATAAGTGTACATGATGAAAAAATCAGTTTAATTTAAAGTAACGTTTTTATGTAATTATTACGAAATAAGCTGTTACGAATGAAATGTGTTCTGAATATTTTTCGATGAATACTCAAATTAACAAATATTAATAAACACCGAGGAAGAAAAAAGTCAGGATTATTTTAAGTAGATAATGATAAAAAAAATCGTCGTGCACAAACGGATGATTGATAATTAAAAAAAAAAAAAAAAAAAAAAAAAAAAAAAAAAAAAAAAAAAACAATTAATAAATAAATAAGCCCATGAAAATTAAAAAAAGTTGATCATTTAACAAAAATTGTGAACAGATGTCTGTCTATCCCTACAGCAAACAGCCATCGCACGGGTCTCGCCTCGTCCAATTATTATTTTGCGCACGAATAAATATATTATTCATGCGAAAGAGCAAATCAACACACGCGTCGTTGAAGAGAGACTCGAAAAATATCAAAAATATACAATTTATACCGACTTTAGCTTAGCTCTCGTTACCACTGAATGAAAAATTCTCACATGCCATGCTTACAAAATGGAAAATATTAGCATCTTGGGCGCGCAAGGCCCACTAGATGCTCGGACATTAGGTCGCGTTCTTAACCCGTATACATGTTTAGGGAAAACTTGAAATCGCGGTAAAAATTTTGTTTGATAAAATAAAATAAAAATGATAAAAAGCATCGAGAAATGACGAATGCACAAGGTGCCACAGGTGAGGATCCATTACGCAGCGGATCATATTGACCGTATTATGTCAATATATTATATACATTATTATATATAACAATAGTTACGTTAATATTAAGAAATATTAGGCTGTAATTTTTTTGTTGATTTTATAAAGGAACAACAGCAAGTTAAAAATCAAATTACTAAATACTTTCTAATTTTTCACTCTGATTATTTTTTAAATGTCAATTTCATATTATTTAATTTTGATAATTATATATAATATAATTTAATTTTTATGAGTTTGCTCTTTATATTGTATTTATATTGTATTTATAAAGTCGTTTAACTGAATATTTTTTAATAAATGATAGCTTTAATAGGGAATTTATTAGAATAAATAATGGAAAATTTATTCTACTGCTGTTGTACCTTATTTTCATTTTTTTTTCCCATAATCTTGGTTATACTTAAAAGCTAGTCTTTTCTTTTGTAAATTATAAAATATTTTATTTACTAGAAATGAATTCTTAATTTTTTGCTTATTTAATTATTATTTAATAATATCTAAATAACTAATTAGTATTTATTGTTTTTAAATTATATTTAAATAATAAAAAGGAATATAAAATATAAGTTTTTTACAATATTTTATGCATAGAAAGAATTTTTAAATAATATAATAATTAAATTAAATCAATAATTATTATATATTAAAACATATTTCAATATTATCTTAAAGTTTTGCATGCTAACATTTTCTAAAAACCAGCCATAAAATATTTTAGAATATTTATCGAATTATTTATCTATTTTAAACTAATTATATATTTTTATTATAAGCAATATCGAGCTTATTAAAGATATAATTCAGATTTTATTGCAACAATAGGTTCAAAATAAAGTACCATCCTGAAGAATCGGTTAAACGAAAAGAAGAACAATTCGCTGCATTAAAAGTAAGTTCTAACAATTAACTCTATTTGCATTAAGTTTTTTTTTTTTTTTTTTTTTTTTTTTTTTTTATATAAATTTAAATTATTACTACTTTTAATATTTATGCTATTGTGATTATTTTATTTTTAGAAACGTGTAGAGGTATTTTTAGAAATGTTGGATAATAAAGAAATAGACAAAGTATCAGTTGATGCAGACCAAACGGACATATTGCTACACTTGCTGGATGCTGTTGTAATAAAACTTGAGGGTGGCACTGAGGACGATTTGAAGATTTTGGATGTAAAACCGCCGAGTCAAACCCTGGCCAAGGATTCTAATCCCAAGGAATCAATAATAAAAAAGGAAGAAGAGTCTAAAGATGCTAAAGATACAGGTAAGCTGAACCAACAATTTTTTATTCTTTAGATTGATTTTTTTTTTTGAGTAACAGAGTTCTATTAATTGCATAAAAAAAAATAAGCAAATTGATTGATTAATAATGATTAAAATACTTAATGTTCAAAAATTTTAATGAGTGAAATATATTTATCATTTTATTTTATAAAACTTCTTTCATAGTTCACTTTGGTATAAATTCTTATTATATCATTTTTCTTATTTAAGTACATTTGTATAGATTTTTAACTAATTGGTATATATGATTGATTAATTATTATTAAGTACTTATTGAACATTTATTGTTGATACTTTTTTTTTATTTTATACAATATTTATTTTATTTAAATTTGACTGATTTTACTTTTAGGATTATACTATAAAAACAGATTTTTCTTTAAATTTAAATATTTATTTAGATGCTATATTAATTTTTTCAAAAACTTTCCTATTTTTTTTTCCCCAGTAAAAATAAAGGTTGAAAAAATAGAGGAGAATGAAAAAACAAATGAAAATAAACTGGAGATAGCTAAGGAGGAAAAACATAATGGTGACATAGAGATGAAAGAGCCTGAGAAGAATGAAAATGACAAAGATATCATAAAAGATATTGAAAAAACAGTAGAAGACAATAGTAGCAAAGATAATAAGGAGGAAGAGAAGAAAGAAGATGGTGATACACAACAGCAAGAAGTAGAAGAGAAATTAGAGGAAAATAATCCGAAAAAGCGTAAAAGAACTAATAGTAATTCCAGTAGTAGCAGTAGCAGTAGTAGCAGCTCCTCTGATAGCGCTGATAGCAATAAACCCGCAACACCAGGAGGTCCACCTCGTAAGCCATTAATTCTAGACAATTTAAAATTTAATGCATCTTAAAATAGTTAAAAAAATAATATAAACAATATGTTATGGAAAGATATATGTTTAAATAAATTTAAATTATTGATGTTCTGATAAAATTAATTGATTGTAATTTTGTAAATTCATATTTAATTGTTTATAAAATTAATAAATTTAGTTGAATCTGAATTATGTAGCATTTAAAATTGTATTGCTCCAGCTGCTGAAGAAAAAGAAGTAAAAGAGGAGAAGCAAGAAAATATCGACATACCAAGCGAAGAACCAGAGGTGCCAATAAAGGAAAAATCACCTGAACTTGAAATTGAAAAGCCAAAAAAGAAGGGAGCTGATACAGAAACTGTAATAGATTTAGCCAATGAAAAGGAACCTCGTGCTTTACATAAAACCAGCAGTATTTTTCTTCGGAATTTAGCTCCAACGATTACTAAAGCTGAAGTCGAAGCTGTAATTATTTTTTATTTTAATCAATATTTTTCCTATTTCCAAAGTTCACAAATGGTTAATAATTATTGAACTCTCGAGTATGGGCTTCATTTAAATTTAATGCTCTGTAATTTATTATTCTATTTAAATCTTCTTATTTATGTTATGCATTTGTTGGCAGTCGTATGCGCGTTATTAATACTTTTGGCGAGTACAGCGACTTTTAGTTCTATTGTGATTCTTAATAGTTTTTAAAAACAAAAGGTTGCTACATTTAAAATATCCAGTAGTGAAATTATATATTTCTATATATATTTCTATATATATATATATATTATATATATTTATATATATTTATATATATATAATTATTTTATTGGAAAAATTTAAGATAAAATACTAAACGTGCACATTGGCAGTGTTATTATTATTATTCAATTAAATATCAAATTTTATAAATTAATTTTCAAATTTAACATTAAATTAGATCTGTTTAGCAAGTGAATATTAGTGACATACAATGTTATTAAAGTTTTGTATTTATACTACTTGTATGATACGTTGCTACCTATGACTAGAGTTAGTGCTTTTCTCTTTGTTTATTTTAATATACTCTAATATATTAATAAATTATACATTAATTCTCTATTATTTTGGTACTTTACATTGTTTAAAGTATACTCATAATCGATATTTTGAATGTAATATGAAAATACATTAAATTTTTATGGTGATGATATATACTTGACCTAGCTTTCAAATATTTTGAAATATGCTAAAATTTGTAAGTTGATTATTACTATTAACTAAGTTACCATTTTATCCAAATTTCTTATAAAATAGAATCATACTCAGTAAAAAATCAATAAATGCATCAACATATATATAATTATAGAAACATATTTCTTTTTAAATAGCTTTCATGTATAATTTATTTATTAAAATTTAAAATGAAAGTCTTTCCTTATTTACAAGAACATAAAATAATGCGAACAATTAACAACTTAAGGTGATATTATTATACTAGCAAGTTAATGTCAAATTCTTTTATAGATGTGTAAACGATTCCCGGGCTTTCTAAGAGTAGCTATTGCAGATCCTCAACCAGAAAGAAGATGGTTCCGACGAGGATGGGTCTCATTTGAACGACAAGTCAATATTAAAGAAATATGTTGGAGTTTAAACAATATTAGAGTAAGTCTTGAAAAATTTTATATATTTGTTTTACGTATCTTTATTATCAAGTATATTTATTATATTCGAATTTAATTATTTGTTTATTTAAAAAAATATATATTTATACAAAGCATAACTTATTTAATTTATTATTATCAAATTATTTATTATTTATTTATAAATAAATCATTTTAATAAATTTTAGCTACGAGATTGTGAACTTGGAGCTATTGTAAATCGTGATCTTTCTCGACGTATACGTACCATCAATGGTATAACTTGTCACAAACAAATTGTGAGGAATGATATTAAATTGAGTGCGAAAATTGTACATAATTTAGATAGTCGAGCAGGTTTATGGTCGGAAGATAAGAAAGAAATTTTGAAAGACGAAGAGGCTAAGAAAGAACAAACCGCAAATGATATAGAACAAGCAGTAAATATTAAAAATATATTTATTTTTTAGTTGAACTTTCTTTTAGTTTAATTTTTTAATTATAACTCGAAAGTCTTAACTCATATCAGCATTACTCATATATCTTTTAAGAATATTTAAACGCCTTTAGATAATGTTATTATTTTCTATTATACTTTCACTGTATACAAAAATAGTAATATTAATAAATTCTTTCAGGCTTTTGGATTGTCGTCGAAAAATCCAATTTTAAAAAATATAACAGATTATCTTATAGAAGAGGCGTCTGCGGAAGAAGAAGAACTGCTTGGAGTCTCAGGAGATCACGAAGAAGGACAATTGTCTTGTGAAGCTGAAGAAAAAATAGAGAGAGATCCAGCTTTAATGAAAGTATGTAAACATTTAACTTTGTTACTAATACGTGATGATTATTTAATGTAATAATGACAATTTCTTCTTATATTAATTTGAAATTTATTGACTTTGGAAAATTTAAAAAGAAATATATATATAAATTTTATATAATGTTTTTATTTTATTTAACTTCTTGTGTAGATTTTATACAAAGTTCTCAAAATTTTATTAATTAATATTATATAGGTTTTAGATAAATTGATTCTATATCTAAGGATAGTACATTCTGTTGATTACTACAATCATTGTGAATATCCAAATGAAGATGAGATGCCAAATCGATGTGGTATTATGCATGTGAGAGGAACACCTCCTACTACGAAAGTGTCTAGCAACGAGTTGACAGAATATTGTAGAAACTTTGAGAGCAAAATGGCCGCATTCCTTACGCCCGTGGCAACTGTTAATCCAACTGATTACGATAAGTTGGGCACGAAAAATGCCGAAACGTACGTATTGACAATACTTTTCATATTAAGTGCTTTCATTACCAATTACTTCTTTTTTTACCCAATATAATATTTTATTTAACTACAAGTAGTAACTAATACAAAAATCATATAAGTAGATTAATGATTATTTAATTGTTCTAAAATAATAATCAATCAATTTTATTAAATTTCAAGATTACTTAATTAACACTTTGCATATTGTTTAATGCATTAATTGTAATTAATCATTGAAGATTTTCAATCTAAATGATTAAATTATTTTAATAATCCATAGGGAGGTAGAGAAGTTTGTCCAAGCAAATACACAAGAGCTTTCGAAAGATAAGTGGCTGTGTCCGCTCAGCGGTAAAAAATTCAAAGGTCCAGATTTTATTCGTAAACATATTTTCAATAAACATGCTGAAAAGGTTGCGGAAGTTAAGGCAGAAGCTGAATACTTCAATAATTATCTTAAGGATCCAAAGAGGCCACAATTACCCGAACATCCAGGTAACAAAGCGCCAATGAGAGATAGTGCAAGAGAAACTTACACTCCATACAATGCTGGCGGGTAAATATTCATCACTTTGTTATATTCTGTTATGCCAAGAACAAAAATTAATATCGTTTAGTTATTTATTATTTATTCGACGATGTCTTGATATTTTATTTTTGGCTAAATATTTTATTTTTATTTTTTAAGTTATATTTTTAATTATATTTTAAGTTATTTCTTGTGTTACAATTTTACAGTTTTGTACAGTTACGCAATTTTAATGTACAAGAAATCACTGAAAAATATTAGATTAGTAGATTCTAGAAGTCAACACATAATATAGTAAAGAAAGTAGAATATTTTTCAAAATTATTTCATTAATATTCTCTAGAATTTTAAGTATTTATTTATCACTTCATCTTTGTAACATTGCTTAGAAATTTTAAATGATTTTGAAAATTAACTTAAAACTTGAAAACATGACTTTAACTCTAATTAGTTTATAAAAATATGTTATTATTGAAAATTAATTGTTCATTGTAAATCAGGGTTAAATATTTATTTTTCATAACATTATTTTATATAAGTTTAAAATACAAAATAAGCATTATAGAATTTTTTTAAACGTTTTACTTCTTTTTTTTGTTTAATATTTTTATTTGATATTGAGATGTAATTAATCATTAGATTGGTAGATTGAGAAACTTCTTACCCTCACCTATAAATAAAATATCTCGTTACATTGTAAATAATAATATTTTACATATTTGCATTTGTAATTAATATGATGACAGATACGTTAAACATATTTTTGTACAGTTAAAACATTATTTTTTACTTTTGGACAAGATATTTTATTTAAATTTACATTTGTAATAAGCACTTATAATTTACATTTTTAATGTTCATTTAACTATAGATCTTTTTACGAATAATAATATATTTATATTGAAATTCATGCTTATTATTAGTTCTTTTTTCAATCTTTTTAGGGATTGAAAAGTTGAAACAAATCATTAAGAGAAGTTTAAGTGGGAATTTTAAATGAGAATTTGTTTTAATTTATCCATTGCTAAAGTCTGTTTCTATCATTTTTGAAAATTCTGAATTAATATCAGTATGACGTTTAATTTAATCTAACAAAATAAATATTTCTAATATATATTAAAATTAACATTATTTATAATGCATTATTTATATTAATTTTGTTTTACATAAATATCAATAATATATTTAAAAAATCTAACAATACACAAATTTTAATATTCTAAATTATTTTTATAATTAATTTATAAATATTAATAGAATGTTAAGAAAAAATTCTTTTATTACAAGATTGCGTTTATGTTTTTTGTTTCAAATATTATAATACTGCGCTATTTGAAAAAAGTAGTAAATATAATAATGTATTTTATCTTTATTTGAAGATAATGTTATATGTTATATTATTTTATCTTATGAAAAGTTTTAAAAATGTATTATATATGATTTTCAAAAATCTTTTAATAGACTTTAACACTATTTTTTATTATTCGATATTATTGATGTTTACTAGAACGTAAAAATATATAGATATATAAATTGTGTTAACATGTAAATTATTAAATACTTATTATTAATTATTAAATTTATATAAACAAATATTTTATAATTATAGAATATTATAAATTAAAACCCAATTAACTTATTAATTAAAATTTAATTAAGTATTCGGTAGTGTTTAATTAATCATTTTTAATTTTCTTACTCTGTTGTATTTTATATTCTTGATTTATTTTGAAATATTTCTGATAAAAAATATGATTATGTTCAGTTTCAATGAATTTAATCGCTGATTTAATTATTTTGTTTTTTTCATAACAATCATTCAAATATAAAATAATAAAAATTAAAAAATTGAATGTATTAGTAATACTAAATACATGTTGTATGAAATAATTTTAATACAAAGGAATTTATTATTATTTTATAAATTAAAATAGTAAAGGCTAATTTGATATATAAAATTGTATTTTATCTTTAACGCGAAATTATTAGTAATTCAGAATTACCAATTTTTATTTAGCAATTAGCCTTGTTGACATAAGCTTAAAACATTATTTTTATATGCATCAAACATTTTTCAAACGCTTTTTCAAACAAAATAAAATTTTTTAATAAGCATCGCATTGTGATAAACTACTGTCCATAAGACGAGTAATATTAAAAGAATTATTTTAAATAAATTGAAATGAAATTATAACAATTAATTTCATAATTTATAATTAATATTATTGTATGATGATCAGATGATCAAATCTGTTAAAATTGTGTTTAATTGTGTTTAATTTGCTAACATTCGCTGGTGTTTAATATTAAATTACACAGAATATAAAATTTTCATATATCCTCAATAATATAATTGCAGATAATTATATTTTTGGTCTGTTTTTTTTAGACGTATATACGTTTAAAAAAATGATTAATTTATAATTCTGTTAAAAAATTATAACATTTAATTGATTGTTTTAAAATGTGTCATGTAATTTATTTTATTTTATAAAAAAATCATTAAAAACATTGTTGCCAATGAAGTTTGGTATAGTATCGTGATTTGTTTAATAAACATATGAATCTGAAAATACAATACTTTGAATCACTAAAAATTCATATAAAATTTCTAATAGTATATTTGAAATTTTCTCGACAAGCTGTCATTTCGCATGAAAAATGATGGAAATTTATTTCTGTGTCATTTCGGTCCCTGATACCATGAAAAGTACCGTTTGTCTTTACGTTTATTTAAGCTCTCGGACTCCCAGTAGATTCGCAGGCAACTACACGAGTAACTTTAGTGGCAACCGCGGCGGCTTTGGAGGTGGCTACGGCGGAGGATTCGGAGGCGGTTTCGGAGTACCAAGGTCTAATCGAGGCGGATTCAACAGAGGACGGTAAGATATCTTATTTATTTTAAGCATATTTTCTTTACCGAATAAACAATGGCTGTGAATCAATTTATATGTGGATATTTTTTCATAATAATTTGTATAATACTCATAACAGCTTTTTAAATAACAATTTTTTAATGTACTTTAATACTTTACAATTAATAAAAGAATGTAAATTTAATTAATAATTTGAATGATTGAAAGTTTTTTATAATTTCAAGTCGTCTCGAACTTATGAAAACTCATTATTTTTTCATTGCATACAGGCCTAGTCAAATAAAAACACCAAAACAATTTTCAAAGAGTTTTGTATATAAACAATTAACTTATTCAGGATTCTTTTAAAAATATAAATAAAAATATTAAAAATTAAATATTTTTAATACTAATATTTAACAAGAGAAAAGAGAGACTGAAAAAATAAAATATAACGCATAGAATTTGTTATATAAAAAATAAAAAATTTCGAATTAAGAAAAATTATTGAAACGATTAAGATAATTGTTAAATTAATTTACCGATAAATAACTTCATATAATTTTTTAAATTACAAATATTAGTAATATCAACCGCGATTAATTTTCTTAAATTACGCATGAGAAATTACATTAAAAAAAAAAATTTTTTATTGGAGAAGTGCTGAATCTTGACGCTGACGTATTATTCAGAGGAGCTCTATCTTAATTTCTGAAAAACAAGTACATGAAAAATTTAAATAATTATGATAAAAAAATGACTACTATATTTCCAGGGCTGCTCCGGATTCCACGTCAAGACCACTAATTAGTTATAATGACCTGGACCAGCTGGATACGGATTTATTTTGAATTTTTCCCATTCAATTTGAAAGTATTAATTGTGCCAGCAGATTTAGAATCTGGATTATGTAACACGCAAGTTAAACAATCGAAAAGAATGTACAAAGTATTTTAGAATATATAACAGGACGAGAATTATTTTTATTGACAAGTGTTACAAAATCAGCACATTTATGTTTTAAAAAGTGACTTAATTGAATTTAAATTAAAATAGAAGGGCTAATCTTGCATAAATAAAGTTATAAATTATCCCGTGCACCTTCTATTATAAATTAATCTTAAAAAATTTATTTCAAAATACCTTTTACTGATCTATTTTATTTTATTAATGAGAACGATCTTGTACATATATAAAACGGTATATTCTTATTGAATACAAAAACAATATCAAACAAATAAATTTATTTGTTGAATTACTTTGTTATTTTTATTTCATTTTCAATCCCATTCCACTTGTACATTTATTCATATACATATACTTCTTGTCCAGTTGGTCTGGCAAACAACTCTATTGTGTCTTATGAACTAATATTCTTTATTTTTTTTTTATTAATCTTAAAAATTTCAGCGGAGGCGGCGAGTTCAGGCCTGTGATTCATTACCGAGATCTCGATGCCCCACGAGAGCCTGACGAATTTTTATAAAAACAAAAGTATCTTTCGCTCATTGAATATACACGCCAACGAAAAATATTAGATTTGCCAAAGAGCAAATAATTTATGGCTGGATAAAATAGCAATTTGTTTAATATGATAAATTTTCGTTTTGAATAATTAATTTTTATAAATAGATGAAAACATATTAATTACATTCAATAATCATAAATAACAAAAAATTTCTTTCTAATAAATAATTATTTTAACTATTAATAGAATGAATGAATCGTAATTTTAAATACTGTTAATTTTCTTTAACAATGAGCCGAAAGTTAAATTATTTTAGCTTTATTATAATTTTCAATCAAATTAATTAAATTACTTATCATATTACGGATGTATACAATTACAGTTTAATATAAAATACTAAGTTGGCATTAATATGTAGATGAATATTATGAATTATTGAATAATATAAATGAAAGAGAAACCATTGTTTCAACATAAAACTCATTCCAGCCTTGGAAAATATATCTTGAATATTTTTTAATTTGCCGACTGTAAAGCGATACGTGGATATATATTTATATGCCTATACCACAACGTCGTTATGTAAATATGTGAAACACAAGCCTAAATTTGGGGCATGAGAGAAAAGACATAAGTTTTTTTTTAACGTTCCTTTTTTGCATTAATCTTAAAAAAAAAGTGAACAACGTTCCATAGTATCATTAATACTATTAATAATCATCTGTGTTTATTTTTTCAATTTGTATCTACTATATTCTGTACACGTCAGTATAAAATACAAAACAAAATAACTTCATGTAAGAACTTTATTGAAACTGGTATAATCTATATGTATGTGTAAGGATGAAAAAGGTTATTAAGAAACAATAATACAATTAAATAATATTACAAACAAAAAAAAATCACATTGAATTCATTTTTCTCCTGTTTTTTTTTTTAGCAATAATATATTTTATTTTTGTTCCTTGCAAATAATTATAATAATAATAATAATAATAATAATAATAATAATAATAATAATATAACATTAATTTCTCTAGGCCTACCTATACAATTGTGTATGCATATATTACTCACATCTTTCTTCCTTCAATTGAAATACTGCAAGTGTATTATAATGCATTTGAAAAACCGCCTTTTCTCGATTACGGCCTTTTTTCTTTCCTTTTTATAGTACATATCTGCGCTTTGCGTCATTTATATATATATATATATATATATATATATAAATATAATGTTTGTGTGTATGCACGTGCACGCGTGTGTTAGCACATACGTATAAATTCATGCACATAATAAAAATAATGGTCGTATAACAGTGTATCGATGCTTCGTAAGCGATGAAACACGTTTATATTTTAAATCTTCATTTTTTTTTACAATCGCTCTCTGCAATGCTGCTCGTCGCTGCCGTCGCCGCAGTCGTCGATGCCATTACACTTTTCTGCCTTCTGGATACATCTACCATTACTGAAAATATTTTTATTGGCATTAAAAAGTGTTCATCGCGCGTACATTATTTATATAATTAGATATAAAGACGGCGTATATAGATTTATTTATAATGTGAACATTGAACTAGCATAAGCAATATTAAAAGGTAATAATAATTTTTTATCATTAATATCAAATAATATTGAGACTATTATATCCTAATAACATTACATATTTGTCACTTACATCTTTTCAAATACGTGAGATTACTAGAAGATAAATTCTAATTTTTCTTTTTTTAACGTACTATATATTTTAATATTTTTTGTGCATTAATTTTATTCAAGAAAAATTAAAGCCTTTCAAATTGTTTGCTTATAATTCAAGAAATTTTACATATGTTACATACAGGATTAAATGAAATGATTATTACAAATACGCTCTCGATCGTAATGTCAAGGACAAATTTTAAACTATTAATAATGAAATTAATAAACGTGAAACTAAAAGACTTTAGAAGATGAATATATAAATTAAAATTATATTCGTTTTTCAATAGAATAATATCTATAATTATATGCATTGAAACATTTTAATATTATAATGACTATTATGTATACTACGAAAAATAATGTTGAATATTAATTTCCTGTAAAAATTTTAATTAGCTGTATATAAAGTAATTATGAACATTTTATTGATATTTTGTAACGTAAAAATACTTAAAAATTACGGAATTTTTAAAGAATGTTTTAACGTCTTAAGGGAAATTTGGTTCATTTTCTGAATTCGAGATTTTGAATTCACTTCATTTATTTAATACATGTAATTTGGAAAATATTTTGAAATTTACTAGATATCGAAATTCAAAATGTAAATATGTGAAATTGCAGCCCCTTGGCAGAAATAATTTCCATTTGATTGCATACAAGATAAAAATTTAAAACACGATTTTCTCAAGATATTTTTGTATGCTTATAGGAGATAAATATGCATCATTCTTTATGCAATTACAAGTATGTAATATTCTGTAAACATTTGAAGAAAAAAATTCCTTTCATTTTAAGATTTAGTCAATAAAAGTGGTATCGTTAATTGTCATTGCTATTACAAGTTAAAGAAATGTTCTAATTATCGGAGTAAGTTTTAAATTTAAATATTGAGCCAAGTATTATTGAGCCTAAATTTTTAAGAAAAAAAAAAACAAAATGAATTGAATGGTAAATGGAACCATGTTAATTATGATTTAAGGAATAAATAAGCCAAAACCATAAACTCCTGGCGCACTTAAAAATGCTTCAGTTAGCATGAAAATACTGGAAGATAGTAATGTCTCTATCAATAACGATATAATTTAACGACCTGTCATTAAGTATCATTAAGAAATACAAATGCAACTGCTAGCATATATCGAAGGAAAAATCGGCAGAAAAAGTTTGTCAGCAGTACAGAACAGTAACGAGTTTTCAATATCGCTTTCGTACGCGTGGGTGACGTTACAACTGCGGACAGCGTAACGCTTTGCACGAGTTTTTCGCGACACCGTTTCGCGATAATAAATAAGGGGTCCCGCGGAATTCTCGCGTCCGACAGCGTGAATTTCCGATATTAATCAGTGAGATCGCAAGGATTTATTTATAGGCCGACCGAATAGCGGGACGGCGATCGATGAGATACGTTAAACGTACGTGTATCGGCCGCATTTGCCAGATAAGCGCCTCACTATAAGGTATATGCGAAGATAAGGGCTAGCGGCTGTTTTATGCTGGCCAATTATGCAAATTCCGGACAACGCGTATTTACAATGTGGCGAAAGATGTAGAAAATGAGATAAGGGAAGATCATGGGCTGTGTGTACGAATTAATCGAGGCCCGCACGAGTTCGCGTGTGTGTTTACGATTGATTAGGGGCAAAACGGAAGCTCGATGGAAGTCGCTCGTTACTTTTTTTTTTCTCTTTTTATGCTACATCTCCCAGCAATAAATGGAAAAACCATTCTAACTCGTCCGTCTCGATGAAATCACGCCTACGTAATTCATGAGGGAAGACAGAACGATATTTACGTTTGTACTCGGCCGATTTGAGAAATGTCTGTGAAAATTATCCCTCGGATATATCGTCCATAAATTGCGGTTCGTTACTCAGGAATTGCAATATTATAGATAATTAATAATTTATCGCGAAATTCAATTACTCTCGCAAGGTAGTCGACAATTCATAAATTGCAGAGAAAAACGTTGAGTGAAAATGACACAATATTATTTAATAGTTTATATTTGTAATTGTATTATATATTTTTAAAATATTACTACGTCATTATCATCACGTATATTCCATGTATACTATAAATATAATATTTTAATAGTTCATTTAATACGTAATTCATACAAATTTTAAATAAATCAAATATGTTTGTTATAATGAATAGTGAACACAAATGACACTCTTTACGCTTTTTCATGCATTTCTAATGCTACGCACATCGTACACATCTCATTACAGGAATTTCTCACGCGTTAATGGATCAGACGGCCGTGAATTATCCTACAATTCGCTATTTATCTAGTAATGAATAGTTTACACGTAGGGGTGGGCATTCCCTTGTTGAGAAAACAAATGCCCAATTAAGCATACCGATTGACCAATTAATACAGATATATAAAGAATCTATCTTAATGACGCTCCAAAATGGAATTTATCGGTTTCGTTATGCATCCATCACGAGTTAACGAAAATTCTTTCAACGACTCGGAACAATTAAATGGACATCCAAAAACGAAAGCCGGAAAGCCGAAAAAGTGTACATTCGTATGTACACGCGAGAAGGAGATAAAAGCGAGAGAATGCCATCCATACAGCGCTACTCGCTATTTGCATAATTACACTTGTAAGTAATACACATAAGTATGTGTATGTATAAGTGTGTGCGAGGGCAACACTGCAATGGGGCTCGTGAGTGCAATGGAGGATTTACAGGCACGTCGACACCCCGGGCGACAGTTCGTAAATTACGCAATTTACTCTCCCTCTCACTCTCAACCTTTTCTTATTCTCTTTTAATTTTGCAGTTCATAGATACGCACGATATCTTCCAAGGGAAATACAATTGACAGGCTACGATCGTGTAAATGGCAGACGTTATAGTTTCCCCCGCCCGCGCGACTAATAGAATATCTGCAAAACTGCTTTGTAAGAGCCAAGGGAAAAAGATTCTACTACTGACAGTTCAAGGGAGAAAATTGTAAGATCCTTGATGGGCGCAAATGTTTTGAAAATGTTAGAGGTACCTTGGTATTGCTGCAAAAGTATTATGCGAGTGAGAGACAGGGAGACAAAGCGAGAGAGAGAGAGAGAGAGAGAGAGAGAGAGGATCATGTCGACAGCGATGTGCAGTTTCCTTCAACTAGGACTGAATCGCAAGATGCTGCTTATGAAAAGAAAATTTTACAATTATTATTCTTGAACTCTCGCGTGAATAGTTCCACTTTTTTCTCAACTCGAATAATATAATATTAATAATAATAATATCTATTTTACATATACTACAATACCAATATATACTTACAATTAAACACCAGCTTAATACTTAAAAGTAATATTTTTTGTCGCCATGTTTTACAAAGTTATTCTATTATCACTACAACGAATTTCTATGAAATCGATTATCTGTTATATCGTTAAATATAATATCATATAGTAATGAAATAAATATTGGTAGATGAAAGAAATAGCTTCAATTTAAATATAGAGCGATAAAACAAATAATGTATATAAGTACAAATAACGTTTGCGACATTTCTAATTAATACAAGATATATTAGACGTATACTCATAAACTAAAAATGTCTACATTTCGACAACATTATTATTATTCGTACCCATTAACACGCTTATAAAACGAAGTACTATTGAAACATTGATTAAAAATTCTTTTAGTGGTATTAACTTAAATTAAGATAGTTTTTAACAATACTAACATGATTAGTTTATGTTAAAGAGTCGATAGATTTTTATCGATACACCATTAATAATGCGATCCTTCGTAAATATGGAAATGGATAAATTGATATTCATTATTTTAAATCATAACTTAACACCTTTCGCATGTGATTCAATGCACATCATTCGTGAACATCAAGAATACGATTATATTTATCTCCTTTATTATTATTTCAGGTAAACGGATTTGTATTCGTAAAAATTTACCATAATTCAATGAAGGCTATCGGAGTGGGTGTTAGCACATATACTCGTATATAAGATTAATGGAAACCATACATAGAATCATGTAACTTGCGTGCTAATACCGTTATATATATATATATATATATATATATATATATATATATTTATAGTATATTTATTATATTTCTAAACAGAAGGCAGTTAATATTTAAAACCGATTTATTCGAAGATTGTAATACTGGCTAATATGAATTTTAAAGAACATTCGACTCATGTCGAATTCAATTACTTTGATATTGTCATAATTGCGGATGATTAGTACTAAAATATTAATTGAAAGTATTAAAAAACTTGACATCGAGCTACTTATAAAAGTTTAAAAATAGATATGGCATGGAAAAATATTAATAATAAAAATATTAATTAATCTTATATGCCTCTTCTAAAATCAACTAGATAATAATTTTTCCTTAAATTCTGTCTTTATCTACTATTTCCACACGAAAGGTAAATTTATTCTTTATTATGTAGGTACAAATAAGACATAGGATAAATAATAATTTCTAATAATATAATCCTCTTTAAATACCATCGATTTGATACATGAAAAACTAAAATCTCAAAATTAAAGCGAGTGTTGATAAAGTAGATATCTGCCGCATATACTCACTGGCAGGTAAACTCGTACTTGTTGCACCGTCCCTGGCAACCGTCTGGCTCATCGGATCCGTCGTTACAGTCACGGTACTTATCGCAAAAGCGTGTCCTTCTGATGCACTGCTGTTTGTCCCTGCACGTGTACTCGTCCTTCGACGGGCAGACTGTAAGAGAATAAAGGAAACATCGTTACGCGCGGCCGGATACGTTATTATGCGATGAATGCTCGTCTAGTCAGATCATGGTTAAGCCTTTCTTACTTTTCTATTCCTTATTCCCGATGCTCTTTTAAAGTCCGCTGGGCGCAATTTCAGTTTCAATAGAATGCAAATGTGATTGCTACTCGAGTTTGGTGTTTATTTTTATTCTTAGCGTTGCTTTTACGATACGACCGAAGACTGAATCGTTAACTTTTTTTACAAGAGGGAAAATAATAATAATGCTAAAGGGGGGTTTGACCGACAATGTATCTACTTGAAATTATTAGATTTTTGTATTCTCGAGCTAGACTTTTACGGCAACTACTATACGTACTTTCTCAAAAAATTTTATGATTGTGGATATAACAATTTAAAATGTTTATACACAAGTTTCAGATTTCATATCAGCAATTGCGATGCAGTTCTTGAGCGAATGTACTTCCAATAATTTGTTCATAGATCACTTAAAAATTTATCGATTTTCGAAAGAAAAGCCAAATATTTAAAAAGTGTGAGTACACAATTTAAAAACCATTTATAATATTGAAAATGTGCTCAACAATTAATTTGTAAATTATTTATCTTTTACAATGTATGTTGGAACTTAATGTTATTTGAATTAATATCAAACAATTTTTCAATGTTTGCCATTAAGTATTAATTCATGATTTATAGAGAGGACGTTTACTTCATCACTTCATTAATCTTATGTAATTACTTATTAATAAAAAATTACATTTCATGATAATACATATATTCAAATAATAAATAAAGATTAAATTAAAAATATCATTATGAAAGCAAATAATTACAATTAAAATATTATATCAAAGAGTAATGAAAGATATTTATGTCTGATGGTATTAAATATATTAAATGTGTGGTTAATTAAATTTTTTTTAAATTAAATTTAATATTTCTATAATTTTTAAAGCAACCAGTATTAAGCGCAACCAGATAATATATTATTGTGAAATTTCCTTTTCTTCACACTTATATTATTGTGGGTAATTTGCAGGTGTTTGGTTAATAAATTTAACGTTCTAATGTTTATTTGGTGCACGTAATAAAAGATCAGTGAATTTTAGTTATTATTAAGGGTGAGCTTTTATTTTACACATACGTGGTGAAAAATTGTGTTTGGATTAATAAAAACTTTAGTATACATTGAAAAATATTTCTACTAATATATATAATAATTTATTATTAATGTGAAATTTAAATAGAACATAGCTATATTCATAAAATTTATAAGCTTGTATAAATTTTATAGTATATATATAAATAATATTTTATTAATTGTCTAAAATAGTGACAAAAGTTAGTATTATAGTATTTATAAATCATAATTTTAAGTAGACATTAAAATTTACAGAGATATACTATTTCTACCACAACTCAAATTAATGAATATAAATTTTTGTTATTAATCATACTATATACATTAATCGCATAGAATATACAATTTCAATTAATATTACAAAGTAAAATATACAATTAATCACCAATGAAGTGTTAAAAAAAAAAGAAAAAGAAAGAAGAGCGATATCTTTTTAAAGGTACTCACGCCTACCAAGGTCATGACCTATAAAGAAAGAAAACAAGCAATAATATAAACGCAGTAAACAAAAATAATAAATTTACTTTTTTTTTTAATATAGGTCACAAATGAAGATAAAGCAAAAAATATAATAAAGATTTTTCAAACATTTTGTATTTTATGAAATGCGATATAAGTATATTGTTCATCAATTTTTCAGAACCTGGGTGAACGAACGATAAAAATATTTAAATTTTAAAATTTTCCCTCTTTTCAATAAATTTTTTAGTACATATTTAAACTTTTCAACATTTCCCTCTTTTCAATACATTTTTTAGTACATATTTAAACTTTTCTGAAATAAATTTAACTATTGTTTATTATATGTGAATTATAATTACTTTTTCTTGATTGCAGTTGAATGTTAAACTAATTTATGATTGATTGAAAATCATATTTCATAAAACTGAGAGAATATGAAACTTATCACAAAATATTGCTCTTATATATAAACGTTATATAATGCTGTGATTTAATATTTAAAATTGCATAATATTTTGCAAATTGAATTATATTGCAAAATGATAAAATTAAAAGCAGATTAATTATTTTTACTCAACATATATGATTTGTTATAAAATTAAAAGATAAATTTCAGCCCAAAAAAGTTTACAGATGTATTACTTGATCTTCGTTTTAGACGACAGTTCACGTATAATTTGAAAAAAATACAAATTTATAAAATAAACAATGACTTACTTGTTGTGCAGTTTTCTTCATCTGTAGCATCGAAACAGTCCACGTGACCATCGCACTTTTTCGAAAGTGGAAGACAGGAAGTTTGGTTACCGCAATGGAAATGAGTTTCTAAATTACATTCTTAAAGAGAAAAGGAAAATGTATATTAATTATATTAATTCATATAACTATCATATAAAACAAAAATAATGTAATAAGCGTTATAATGAACATTATACAATAATCTAATTTACATAAAAAAAGAAAAGATGAAAAGATCTACTATTACATTGTATCATTCAATTATTTAAACGAATAAAATTACATTCAATTGCGTCGAAGTTTTTTTTAAAATAGATATATGTATTTAGGTATAAATTTTAACTATACATTTATTCATGTAATTATTTAAAATAAAACATGAAACTATTTATGAAATGGTTTATAATGTAGAATCTTAATATACATCTTTATTGAAAAATTATCCTTTTTAAATAATTAAAAATTTAACTTCCACATATAAATTATAAGAAACTAAAAAAGTTGAAATATATCTAATTTGCATAAAATCTATACGAATCGTAAAATAAATTTAAATTAAGTATGTAAGGAAATACGAGACCAACAATTAAAGTATAAAAAAAAATGCGTACGTAAAGCAGAGTCGCATAATTTAATTTTAATGTAACACAGCCATATAAGGACATTAATTTTAATATTACATGAGATTTTTTTTAATTGTCATTTTATATACTGTGTAATGATTTAGGACAACAAATTGATGGAAATCAAAGAGAAATGCTTTTAACTTATACTATAAAACGAAAAAATTTACATTTAAAATAAATTGATATTTAGTACATATATATTAAGTTTGTAATACTTAAACATTATAATTAAAAACATCATCAAAATGCTGAACAAATCAATATTTTTCTCAATGTCAATTGATAAATTCATGCTTTAGATAATCAAACATATATAATTACTGTATAAACATATTAAAACTTATGTAAATACCTAAGCGAGCATTTCCTAAGAGTTGCGTGTCAAAAGTAATTTTTGGATTAATTAGTAATTCAGAACATAGAGTACGTAAGTAATAACTGAAAAAAACTTGAAAACTTGATAAAATGTTGATTTTCAACTTATAATATAATTGTAAAAAGATAATGTTTTCAAAACGAAGACTGGTTAGCGGCAGATAAAATTACAGAAAAAAAAAAATTTAATTAGTGTATTGAAGTTCAATGTATTCGAAAGTATATCGATATAAGAGTGTTCTAGATTACAGTAATTAAAATTAAAAATTTTGATTGATAACAACTTGTGGTGTCTGAATTTGATTAATCAGCTTATGCGATAATCAAGCTGTATTAGAAGTTATACTATCGTACAAATTGTTTTAATGTTACCGAAAATTGAAATGATCCAAAGATTCAAAGTGAAATGTACAGGGTCATATAAATTACATGGAATATATTTCAAATAATACAGCAGTTGTACATAAGTCTGCAGTTATTTACATTTATTTTTTCATTATATTTTACTGTTTCTAAGAAATGTAATTATTATTCATTCGAACATGATTTAAATCCTTTAAGGACATTTATCGTCAAAGATTTAATGTACAATTTCTTAATCAATTCAAAATATCTTATAAATTTTCAATGTGCACTTAAAATAGCCATGACAATAAATAATATGAAATGAAATTTCGAATGAATTAGAAATTCACTATTTAAAATTGCATTGTTTTTTTTTTTTTTGGTTTTCTACAAACTACATTCTTGAATTTCTATTAATAGTCACCTTCGCGGTTCACGTGTTCACAAAGTTACTTTTCCGGAAACGCATGTCGAAAGATCCGTAGATACGATAACACAGGGCAAAGGAGAACGAAAGTCAACTTACCACAATTGTATTCGTCTGAGTGATCGTAGCAATTCATTTGCCCATCGCAGCGCTTCACGAGGGGGATGCAAAATATATTCAAACACGTCCACTCGTCGTTGAGGCAGTGGTGCTCTATTTCCGTGCACCTGTGAGCATGACAATAGGGGCGATTATTACATTGTGGCACTTTCATTTACAAGGTATTTTCGTTAATTCGTAACCTCATAAGTCTATGATTTTATTTGCCTGCAAACGTGGCACAAATTTCAAGTTTGGTATCTCAATATTATAACTTGATTGGTCTTTGTTATGATAACGATATTACAAGTAATTGAAAATATTAAACTTCGTGTAGTTTTATATTTCGCACAATTTTAATAATACGGAGTAGCTTCTTAATTTTCTGGTTTTTAAATACAAAGTTTACGATCAAATCATTCATGGCAATAAGATAAAAAAAATATTTGAAATGAAAATTTACAAAGGGGTATTAAGAACATTGCATGACTAAATAAATTCATAAATAATTTGGTAGTTTAAAACGAACAATGACATAAAACTAATTATTTTTTTTATTGTATTCTTATAATTGTATATATATATTAATAATTCATTATATACCTGAACAATTACAACTACAGAAAAAGTGCATAAGGTACCTTGGTAGGGCGTGTTTTTACCATTTAGTATTATCATTTAATCATGTATTTTCTTCTACGATCGATACATTTTTTCCATGTTTTTATAGATTTCTTAATAAACAAAAACAGAAACAAAAACAAAATTTGTTCAAATTTAAATTTACTTCATAAGATAAAGAGTATAGTAATCAAGAGATTTTAATAGAATTCAAACAATAAAAGTTGTAGACATAAAAACCAATCATACTACTTCAATAAAGTTTTCATGTGAAATGAAGTTCATTGTCCTGTCCAAACCGAGCAAACAATCGACCTGCGCAGCTTTTTTGCTGCTCTGAAAAATTAGCATTTTGATAAACTCCATTATTCAAAAGCTTCTTGCGAGCATACAAATGACAGATTACACCTTCGCCCTTCTTCCATTGTCGCGATCCCATGTATTCGCACACACATGCAAGTTGACGTTCGGGCTAGTGAATGGAAAGCTATAATCGCAGGTAAACACATATGCACATGTTAACTACGCACCTGCGTGAGATATATTAATGCCAATGTAAGCTATAATATGCCATTATTTTGTAAAATTTAGTATATTGCAAAGGCAATCAAGTATTTATTTGTAGTGTAAATGAGATGAACAACGATGAAATGATAAAAGAATTTCTTTGATATTTTATAATAGATAGACATATATTGAGTCCGTAAAATTAAAAAGCATTAATTGTTTTTTTATTAATTATAGATTAATATTATAAAAAAAGGATTATATATTAATGAAAAATTCTGAAAGTTCCGTTCATTTTAAATTTAATATCTTAAATTTCGTTTTAATATTCATAAATACTATTGTCTTTTATCTGTACATTTATCAATACCAAAAATCTTCAAAATAAAAAAATGTAGTTATCATTATTTTAAAATATTTTTTTATTAAATCCTAGGATAAAAATTGATTGTATATTAAATACTTTTATTATCTCAAGTATTTTTTCAATAAAATAGTTCTGTCAAACTTATTATTTATAAACACATTTGTTTACTGTGAAAAAATCGTGTATTACATAATAAAATTGACGGTAAATAATTGAAATTGAAAGCTATATTATAAGTGAAGATTATTTTTATTAATTCGATGGCTTTTTTACGATTCGGTATTATACGAAATTTCACGTGCATCTAATTAATTATATGTGCGAATTAGTTGATGCATACTTCATGAATTAAAATTCGCATTAATACGTAAAATTTTATAAATTACTAAAAAATATGGCAAAATTATTGTCCTGTCCAAACCAAATACGTAAAAATCATTAAGTATTCATTTCTGAAGAAAAAAACTTATTATCTTTATTTCGTTTAACATACTTAGAACATTAATAACTAATTTCTAATTTTTCGCCCTCTTTTTGCTATACGTACAATACAACTGCAGTTAAATTGGCAGAAACTTGATTGAACGAAAGGGAGTGAATAAAATTAGTTTTGATACAAGTATGCACTTTTTCAATTATGTCACGATGTGACGTTTTTTCGTTATGTGATATTTGTAAATCAGTTTACAAATCCCACCTGCTCGCTCCATTTTCAAGCCTATGGCACTTTTGCGTTGCAGCGTCACAATAACCAGCGCAGCCGCTTCTGTCCTGGGGATCGAGGGGAGATCTGCAGAAAGGGACCTCGTCTACGTTCTTCGACACACAAACTTCATCGTTGCGACACTCGACGCAAGGTCTCCGTCTATGCATATGTGGGCTCAGGAGTCCGAAAAAGGATGTGACGTCGTTACTACTGTTATTGAGAATACGACTGCCATCGCCGCCGCCGCCGCCGCCGCCACCGCTGCTGTTGCTGCTGCTGTTGCTGCTGCTGTTGTTGCTGATCGCTGGAATAGCTGATATCGACGGCCTGCGTGCGGGTTACGCAAAGTGATTATTTGTTAATTGATTTATTTTGTTTTCTATTTGTTGTATACGAAGAAAAACTATTTATAAAGCGGCGAGAGAGACGAGTTTAACTCTTTTATTGATACTTTCGGACCTCTTTACCGACTCTCAATAAAGATAAAGTAAAATAAATAAAATAAAGTTAATATTAACAACGAGAAATAAATCAAATATTAAGATTTCAAAGAGAGAAACTTTGGAGTGACTTATATTATAAAAAGTATATTATGCAAAATTAGTACGAATACACATGTTTTAAGATTTAAATCAAAGCTATAATTTTAAAACATATCGTACTGTATATATAAATTTTGAGTATGTAAAAAAGTAAATATTACAAGACCTTTTTATCACTGACCACTTCTTCGTCCGTTCGAATATATCGACGAAAACGTGAAATATAATGCGATAGAACTAGCATCTTATGTTTAGATTAATAATTTTGAAAAGTTTCTACTTTAAGATGGAGGAAAAATAAATTATAAAGATTTTCTCATTGCAAATAGATTCATTCTGTGAGTATAGAGTACTTTATTACAATGACAAATGGTCATGTATAATCAACAAGGTACTTTATTAAAGCTTTTAAAAAATAAAAGTTTATCTTGATTTTGCAAAGTGATTTGTAACGTCGATGAATCTTTCTTTACGGTGTAGGTTACAGCTTGACGTTAAGCAGCTATCAAAAGAGAGAGAGAGAGAGAGAGAGAGAGAGAGAGAGAGTGCGAATGGAGTTCACATCTTATAATATTGTGCGACTTGGTAAGAATTCAAACTAATTTTGAATAATATTTCAAATAACTTTAATTTGAAATTAATTATTTGTTTTTGCGAGTTATCTTTAATACTTGGGATATTGAAACTTTTTATATATTAAGTGTACATTGTTTGTAAAATAATTGAAAAAGTCAAAGACTCCAAGTACTCTCTTTTGTCATAGTTTTCAACATAAAGGGAATTAAAGTCTACTGAATATCTCATGGAATTATATATTTATTTACATAACAGAAGTAAAGATAAGCCTCACCTGAAAGACGTCGTCGTCGCACTTGTGGTGATCGGCGTTTGCGTGGCGCTAGTCAAGGGTGGCTCGAAAATAGGTTCGATATCACCGAGAGATGGCCCATTGGACTTGAGCAGGACGTCGAGAAGCGAGGGTGTAGGCGGGGACGCCAACCAGGTTGAGTCCTCGACTTCTGTGGCATTTTCACCAATAGACGTCGAGTTACGTGCACTCGAGCGCAAGTATTGCTGGATCACGTGCAACTTCTCAGGTTCTAAAATCCCGAAGGTATATTTGTTTTTAACTTCTATCTAATTCTTCATTAAAGTTTATGCGTTGACAAGATTGTCATTAATCTCTTTTTTTAACAGATAGATAAATATACGAAGAATATATGCAGGCTATTAATCTTACTTATTTAAATTTATAATTATCAACTAGTAAATATAAGTACATGTATACTTTATAAGTGGTCTCATCTAACGGATACAATTTATGGAAAATTTGAATACTTAAAATATTTATGCACACATATTTACTTTAGTAATTATAATAAACACGCTGAACATTTTGAATAATATTATTAAAGATATTTTATAAAGTTTCTGAACTTGATGTATTTCTCTTTACTATGGTATTTGTCTGTATATATGACAAACTTGACATAAATTTCTCAGAAATAAATTGCAAGGAACTTGGCACAATGATAAATCATGAAAAACTATTTTGCAGCTAAAGTTTACAGAATTCTAAGTACCTGTTAAAATATAACCATTTATCAAGGTATAATCATTAAGAATACTTTAAAGATAATTTCATATTATTTACATAATTATTTTAATTCCAATTATCAAATAATTAACAGATAAACGTTGAAAGATTTGGTTTAACTTGCGTTGAATTTTCAAAAAAATTATGCTAGTTTTATAAAATGAATATGATGCGTGGTCTTACACAAGGCCATGTATATTTATATTTTACCATTTATACATGGATGACGCTTTATCTTCGTTCATAGTTACTTAAAATTGATTATGATAATGATAATGCAATATATTCATAGCGAAAGTTTTTAAGTGTACTGTTGTTTTTGGTAAAATTTGCAATTTTAAAAATAATCTTGGAATATTAAAATTACAGATATATGGGAATTAAAATTAAAAAATTGTAATACTGCTGGAGGCTATAATAAACTACCAAATCGTCAAACTAAAATTGCCCATTAATAAATACCATAATACTCGTTTATTTACACTTTACATTCACAATCGGAAATTAAAATATCACGGTAGCCTGTAGTTTACTACCACTGATACAGATAATCCGAGTGAAGGCTAAAAAAGAGTAAATCGCCGAGAAAAGATCCGCCGAAGAGAAACTAAAGTATAAACGGAAGACACGCTTACCGCTGAGAGCCGAGAGTCCAAAATCGTCGGCAAGTGAAGCGAAGCAAAGCGGCGGTAGCCCACCGAAGGTAAAACAATTTATTTTTCCTGAGCCAAGGAAGTCGAAAGTTCGGTCGTGGCGTGAAGATTTTTTAAGCTGCAAAAACTTACTTAAGGAATCGACTGAGTTGAAAAAGTAGCCGCCACTAGT